GAAAACATTTAGGAAAGGAAATCTATTTTATTGAAAAAAAAAAATTACATTTCACTTGTACACCATGAAAATATTCAGTTATTTTCAAAAGAAGAGGTTAAGACTTCCACAAGAAAACCACATTCTTTATTACAGCATTACTCTACGAGATGAGGCTCTGGTGGTGTCTGCACTGGGCATTTTTCACTAAACAGTAGCGCAGGATTAAATGTGCCTTGGGCAAAAACCCTAAATATTGCCCTCTTCCAGATGCTAGTCCTTCTTGAAGACATGACACTTACTTGGCCAACATTTCATTATTTCCGAATTAGACACAACAGTTCTCTACTCATGTAGATCTTACAGAAATTCACAGCTATCCTTTTCCCCCACTTTTAACAATCTTGATTCATATGTCCCATTCAGCCAGATAAAAGTTGAAGTGGCATACACAATGTCACACCCAAGAAAACAAGGACTGAAAGGGCTATGTGACATTAATAATCCCAATCACTGACAATGATTTATAGTATCAACACATGAGACTGAATTTTCCAGGACTTCCCTATGTCGCTACATCACCAGCAACAAATCCTATGGCTTCCTTCCCTACCAAGGCATGTATTCACAGTGGCTGTCAGCACATGAATACATCTGCTTTGCAGAAGCACCTGCTTGCAAGTGGTATCCCAAGGCCATTTACTACATGGCAAGCACCATGCTGTGCTCCCAGTCACCTGCCATGGACTGTACTGCATCACTTGGCAAGGCACCTTCCGAAAACTCCTTTTGAACCAGAGACCTTTGGCATCTTAAAGTATAAAAATCTGCAAGCAAAAATAAATAGCAATGCCACATATTCCCAGGTAACTTGTCTTACTAATTGATTTGACTACTTACTTAGAGGGGAACGGAAGGAAAAGAGCCAGACGTGACCAAACCTAACATCATGCAAGTGGCTGTGAAAGCAGACTTGAAATTTTCTCCACCTGGATGTTACTGCTATGTTTCCTAGGTGGATAACTGCCTTATTACATGCTGTTTTCTACTTTGCTAGGCAAAAGCATAATACAGACTATGTGAACAGGCACAGTAACTCTTGATAGTACTGTAACGTTTTTGCTGGATTTGCAGCTAGATGGAACACCATACTTGGATTCCTACATACATAGCTGCTCTTTCAAGTACTTAGCTGAGCAGGATTATTTGCATTAACACTGACAGTGCAGCTCTGCAATTGGACTCTGCTTGTCCAGCCTCTCACTGCCAGGAAAAGTAGCAATCCCGATCTCCCACTCTCTTGCCTAGCCACATCTTCCCAACCCCTTCCTTGTGTTAGCACACTGTTCTCTGGATGAGAACGTTCAGGGAACTAAAGGAGCTGAAAACTTTAGGGTTTTTGGACGGATGAGTTCCCCACCGGTTTAGTTTCCCCCACTGCACTCGCTGCAGGGTCAGGCAAGGACCAGGGATAGCACAAGTGATGGACAAGGAAGATTAGGTTGTGTTTTTATGGTGTAGTTGAGCTGGGTAAGAGAAACCTACCACAACAGCTGGTAATTCTGTAGTTTTCCAGAGCACAAGAAACTCTCCTAAATCACCCAAACAACTCACTCGTAGTGTCTCTTTCTCTCCATGAACTGCAGAGGAAGACTAGGGAAACCTCATGGCAAAACAAGGTTCTTGGAAGGGAGAGAATGAGCATCCTGCTGCCAAACGCCAGAGCCAGGACAGCAGCACGCTGCTTATTGTGTGCTTTAACTTCAAAGTGAATGGAGTTGTGCTGTATCAAAATTTTGGTACTGCAGTTAGGAAGGGACAATCTGACTGTGCCCTTATCACTCACTCAACTCAGGGCCACTTCTCTATGTCTCCCCAGGGGAGGAAATCACAGCACAGCCAGCCATGTGAAACGTGGCTACTCCCTTCCCGAGTCTCTCCCCCAGCAACACATTATTCACCTAAGTGATATATTTTTTGCTAATTCAGCAAAGAAGCAGCAATACTTCTAACACATTCAGAACTTGGAAAATAATGACAGAAAAAACTGACAAATTCTCCCCTACTTTTTTGCAGGATCGATTTATTGATGAATGTGGCAAGGATACTGTCTTGTTTCTCAAAAAGAGACATAATGAATAATGCTCAGTCTCTCCAGCTCACCCTTATTGCAGTAGGAGCACAGCATGCAGCAGAGGGCCTTGCCCTGAAAAATGATTTATGCCACAGACCCTTTCCGACTTCCTACAAAATCCCCAAATGACCAAACAACAAGAGAAAATAAAGAGAAAAGAAATCAGGATTGAAGGGCTTGAGCCCATCTCCCAGCCAGAAGGAAAAATAGAAGACTATAGTGAGATTTAAAAAAAAAATCACTTTCTTGTTTTCAAACATGCCAACAGCTTGCATTGTGCCTGAATGGGATTTTGTCGGTAACTCAACTCTTCTGAAAGCCAATGCACGTATTGAATTTAAATTCAGATCACTCTCTTTAAATTCTTTACAGTGCCATAACTGACAGACTGAAGGGAAAAAAAAACCCAATATTTTCTCCCACTTAGCCCACTCATCTCTCTGTTGCACTCATTCACTGCAATGAAGTTAGCTTGGCCAGCAAGTGCCGATCCAGTCTCTAGGCTTGTTTGCTTACGTGGTGCTATTAAGGACCAATGAGATCCCCCAGTCCTTTTACATTAAATAAATCAATCCTTCACCTATCTTTATTCTGCCCCAGATGCATTTGGTATTTTATTTCATTGCAAAATCTGAATTCTAGGTCACCACTTACCTGATTTTGTCATGGATAAGGTAGCAATATTTAGGGTTTTCTTTTTATACAATGGTGTCTACCATCCTATTGCCTCTCTCTACAATCAAGCATACAAGCCTTACTGCAGAAAGAATATAACTCATAACCAACAACCAGAAAACACACAAACACTACAAAAAGCCTACAGTTTCATACGAAATTAAATCATTTGCTATTACACAGAACGTTGTTGCTTTTCTGGCATAAAATTCATGGAGTTACTACATAGGTCTCAAAGACAATCATTGAGATGTGTAAACATAGAACAGGTCCACCTAGTCAGTACGAAGCACCACACAAACTTGAAGTACATAGAAAGTTTGCTCATAAATATTTATTTGTTTAACAATTCAGCACTAAAAAAATATTACTTAAAAAGGCATCTTTTATTTAAGTTATTTTAGTTTGTCCAGGGCTGGTGGGGTTGTACTGTCCCTACTTCATTACAGCCACCTGACTCTATCTCCATATCACCTTACTCTCCAAGAAGAAAAGTCCAGGTGTGGCTGGGACCCAGAGCTTTGTCACTATCTATAAAAATAGAATTCTTTAGGACTTTCTACGTACACCCTGAAGGCCTGCACTGCCAGCCCCCAAATTTTGTTTCCCACCCCCACCACATTGCAAATAAAGCCTCAACGTACACACACGCACACATACACACAGAATACATGTATTACACTCTTCTACACACTGACTTTTCTAAATAGCAATGCAACCACAAGGGCAATAGGTAATGAATACACATGATTTCAGTGGTAACATATGGCTCAGCCTTCTCATATTGCTGGTATTCTCTGTCTTAGTTATGTGCTGCCTTATTCACTACTCTGCAAAAGGTGTATTTATTACTTTTATTTTGCATTGTCGAGGCACTAATTCGGGAATGCTAATTTAGGAACATACTTGGGAGCATCCCATTTGCCTCGAGATCTGCTGTTGCTGGAGCAGCAAGCACCACACGGTCGGCTGGTGGTGTTGGGATTGTCACCTGGTACTGGTGAAGCTGACAGGAGCATTCCTAGGCTGCTGAAAACTAATCCACATCCTTTTCCTTCCTGGAAAGTGAGAAAACTAGCTTGGGCTCTCCTAAAAAGACACGTACAGCTACCTAGCATCCTGCACTCAGCACCCTTCCTGGCAGTTTAGGGATCACTCCAAGTTCCTGATTGAACCTTGTAGATTTAACTTCAGTCTGCTCCTGCATACAGACATAAATTCTATTCTACTCACTTCCTTGGAAGAGCAGAGCTGCTTTCAGGCTTGTGATTGAACATGTCAAAGCTTACTTTCCTCGGTTTACATGTATTTAATTGATATGTTTAGAATGCCAGCAGGCTACAAAACTGCTCAGCAGCAGGCTTTCAATCATCAAAAGCACATCTTTCAAAAAGGACAGCTATTCTCCAAGTAATTTCTCTTGGGACTCTAATAGTTGAATGTCTAATCAAGGATGAATTGTGATATAAAAAATAATGGGTTGTTTTTCTTCAGTTTATGGAGAAATACTTTGGATTCGGTCACTAAAATCTGTAACATTCATGTCTCAACTTCTAGTGGGCAGAGTCAGTCAGGAGAAATGGCTGTTTGTGATATAAGCCTAACTTTTCCAGTCAGCATAAGAATCTTCTCCAATAAGCAGTGCTCTCCGTAACGTGGATACCTGCTCTCCTCCTCCTGCAAACTGGCACAGCATACACAAATGTACAGTGCTGACAGAAGCACTTGTTCTGACGTGCAGAAACAGTTGTTTCCAACTGCATAGTCTCATATGCTCTGCAGTAAGATAAAAATTACTTGAAGTGCTGCACAAGAAACAGACCCGAAAATGATCTGTGATGCTTACTTCAAGCCTCTTTTCTCACCTTTGCAGCAATAAGGAGCGCATCATGGGGAGGTCCTGCACATACAAGTACAAGGCATACAAGAGCAGTGGTGCAGGTATCAGCAGTTGTCTTCCCATGAAACTTCTCAGGAGAAAATCTAAGAAGACAAGGATGTTATTCTCCTCTAGAGACCTATTTCCTTGCAACAAGATGACTGCGGAGCACAAAGGTGCCTTCTTTCATTAACTATCCATTCTTTATACCAGGATATATCTAATTAAACCTTTAATTACATCCACTTACTCAGCAAGACTATCAAACTCTTCTTGATTTGTTTAATTCCGAAATGATTAACATATTAAAAATAGGATCTAACAATCTGTGTGTACAGTATATTAAATGTAGATGCTTTTATTACAATCTTCCTTGCCACATAGTTTAAAATTAAATATATCAATACAATCACCAGAACAATCTCAGACAACAAAAGAATACCATCCAATCAAGATACAGTAAGATACTCAAAAAGGCAGTATGAGTAGCTGGAAACCTTGGTCCTCCGATTATTTTGTACAGCACATTGATCAGAGATTTTCCCGTATAAATTAGCAAACAAACATTAAAAGTTAACAATTTCATACCATAGATTCTTTAAATGTTTATATCGAGCGTGAACAGTATCGATTCTAGCACAATGTCTTTATGCATGTGTCTCTCTAAGAGGTAAAAGGGAATTTTAGGTATGCAGTAACCTATATCCAGGCCCAGAGATGAGTAGAATACCTGTAAACAACTTTTGGTCTTTCCCGTACAATGGCTTCATAAATGAGTGCAGTAATCAAAATGGCTGAGCACAGACACTGAACAAATCACCCCAGAAAAAAGGATCCGACACAAATAATTTCCAAGTGAGTGAAGAATGGCAGAGAAGTCACCTGAACTCAAACACAAACCGCTCACCGTTCCCACGAGGACGTGCCCTTCAGTATTAGATGCGTACCTCGCGCTAACTTCACACGTACACGTGCCCTCCACACATACACTGGGGAGTATGCATGGCAGTGAAGCTGGCATTCCTCAACCAGCCTCAGTGCTGAGCAGAGGCCATGGACTAGTGGGCTACAGCCACCTTTCGTGCTGTTAGGGCAGTCATGAAAGACTTCTCATTAGTTATAGATCCACCTTCTGTGCTAAGGTGCTTTTTCTTTTGTAATCACTGGGGATCTAACCTGCTTTAAGTTAACCATTTTCTTTTACCTAGGCAACTGCAAGTGCATCAGACAACTCTGATGAGTTTTTTCCATGTCCATAAGCAGTGGGCAGCTGTCTAATGCTGAGGTACTTTCAAGAAGCACCAGACAGTAAGAATGTGGGGGTTTTTTTTGTCTTTTTTTTTTTTTGTTTTTAAACAGATATTATCCATGGCAGGAATGGACGGAGACTTTGAATTCTGTTCTGCAGACATCATGAAAAAGTGCTCTACACCCCTGAATGAATAAAAACGCATCTAAGTATTACATATGTATACCTTGACATTCAAAAATACCTGTTTGCCCGCTGTGACTTCAAAATGTCAGCTACAGGATATATTTACAGATGATTGCTGATGTTTGTTCCAGGCAAGAGATGTTAAGCACAATTATTCCCAGAACACATAAACACAAACTAATTTAGATCAGGGCAGTGGGAGTTCAAAAGAGGTACTTCATGAGCAGCTCCCAAGGACCCAAGCAGAAGCAGCAAGCAGCCAACTGTTACAGAGCCCACCTAATACAAAATATGAACTGCTGCAAACTGAGCTCATTAGTAACATCACCTTCTTATTTTTTTTTTTCCCCTGAAGCTACCCTTATTGTGTCCATCCCCATGGCTATGCCACAGATGCCAAGAAAGGTGTGGATTACTGGAGTGACTCTCCTTTCTTTGAAGCAGTAGCTAGAGATCACATGTGATGGGTATAAGCTGCTCTGGGAAACACCTTACTTACTCTTTTATGGTAAGATCAAGGTTGATTGTGGTTAACACATAAAACCTTCTTTGTAAGGTAACTTTATATTTCCTAAATTCCAAGCTTATTTCAATGAAATAAAGATCTGCCTTCCTCTCAATTCCCCTCTGGAAGTCTACTTCTTTAGTGCCAAAAACAATTGTGCTGTCTCACCCTATCTAAAAGGGCTTTCTGTAGTACGGTCTTAGAACAGGTAGGGTTTCTTTGACAGCAAATTTTGACAGTGCATAGCTAACACTGCTTAAAAAGAAAGCAAAAGAAGAAAAAAAAAAAAGGTCAATTTGGAGCTTTTCTCTACTGCTGATCCCCTAATGTGAAGAGCTTCAGAATCTCAACACTTGAATATCTCTCGAGGATGGTGACTCCACAACCTCTCTGGGAAACTTGCTTCAGTGTTCACTCACATTCATAGTCTTTTTTTTTTCTTTTCCTTTTCTTTTTTATTTTTTTTTAAATGTTTCAGCAGAATTTCCTGTATTCTGATTTACGCCCATCTTCCTCTCATCTTCCCACCAGACACCGAGTAGTGCATGGCTCCCTCTTTTTCACTCCTTCCCATCAGATTTACACATGCTGGTAAGACAGTTCCTGTCTATCGACATGCTGGACATCTGCCATGAATTCATCTCTGTTACTGACTGCTAATTTTAGTGACCGTTCACATCACTGATATTATTATTCATGGAAAGTTATTTCATGGCAGTGGTTGCTATAAACCATGGCAGCAGAGTCACATTTTATAGTCCATTTCTGTGTTTTCTTTTTTTTTTTTTTCTTAAAATTCTAATCTCTTTTCTTTTTAAATGCTTAATGTCAAACGTAGAGAGACAATAGCAGTATTAGTTGTGGAGAGTAAAAACCTGGATTTTGCCTCTTACATACACTGCAAATCGTGTTCATCTCTTAAATTTCATTTGTTTTAGAGGTACTGAAAATGAGGGATTTCAGAAGTACATTAATTATAAAATCTTACTCTAAAAATAAAAATCTCTTGAATTCAAAGTAACTTTAAGAATAAATTACTCCTCTACTAAGTGAAAAAAAAAAATCAACTTTTACAGTGACAGAATATCCACAAAATGGTGGGGTAAATGAAGTCTGCAGTGGCAAAAGCAATCTCCAGACCAGCTCTGCTGGGGACTCCCACATTATGTATGTGACAATTAAGCAGGTGTGATGACGAATGGGCAGGAAAAGTATCTGGCAGACATCCAACAGTGTATTTCACATCATCAAAAAAGGCCCAGAGCTGCCCTTTCCCCTAATGCGAATTTGCTTCATGAAGAAATCTGCTTCAAGCAGGAGTGAAATTTTTATCTGCTTATGACATGTAGGGAAAAAATATCAACTGAATTTGGATCTAAAAACACATCAGATCTCCTCTTGGGAGAAGTGAGAACTTCAGTCCCATACAGAAATCAAAAGGAATTATCAGTGTTCAGAACTTGTCAGCCTATCTCCTTAGTGGTGTAATATGTGGCTGTGATATACTAGACACTGAAATTAGTAAAAATTCCATTTTGAAGGCTAATGAAGCTGAATTTTGAAATGAAAAATGTTCAAGAGACAAATAATAATGTATTTCTGTGATCCCAGAGGAAGTTACAGAGAATTACATTATGAACAAATTTTGTATGCTGTCCTGAATTTGGTAAACATTTGCAATTTCCTAAGCCACATGTATTGCTGTTACCACATTGCTTCATTGATAAACTGCCAATAGTGCTCACTATTGCTAAGTGGAAGCGCTCTACACAGTGTAAATACATCCACGAAGAAAAAACGACTGCTGTCAGCCTTCAGAGTAGGAGCTGCTTTCTCTTTTGTCCTTAAATAACATTTGTCCTTAGTTAAAAAAAAAAAAACAAAGCATCAAACCTGGCCTCAGAGATAAAGCTACAAACTTGTAGTCAGTGCTACTGAATGAATATATTCTCTTATTAATGAAAGTATTTCAGGAGCAGAGTTTTGGAAGAAAAACATGAGGGCAGTTGTGGACATTAGAAATTAGCAGCCAGTACCTGCAGAAACTGAAAATGTGCAGCTGTTCCTAAGACAAGAAACGGGAGCAGTTATCAGTAACATTAATGACAGACACCTCAAGGTCACTTCAGAGTACTTAAATGCCAAACATCTTCAAAGTACTTCTACACACATCCAGAGCTTTGTGTGTAGTTTTAACCCTGCTTAGTTTCATAGCAGCTGAGATACTGAATACCAGAGTAGGTAACCATATCTCTCCAGGAAAAGGGAGCTTGTAGCAAGCTCCATTGGCACTAGATGCAATCTTGAAATATATTCTCCAGTCAGTCAAGCATTCCATTAGCAAATTCACATCTGAAGTCTTTGGCAAGGCAGGAACATTGTACTCTCTTGCCCTGGGAAATTACACACATAAAGTGAACTTGACAGCCATTTTGATACCTGGTAATATGCTTTAATGCATACTGACTCTGTTTTGTTTTTAAAACCGAGCAAGGCCAGCACATATGTTTGAGAGTGGATATCTGCCTATGCTGGGCACTATTTCATGAAAATCAGGTTTCTGTCACAGATCTAAGGCAAATATTACAATTTACAGGAAAAAAAATGAGGACATCAATACATTGTGCGTTGCTGGAGACATACAGCCTTTATAACACAGTAGCTTTCACTATGATTTCTGGGTTCTCTATGTCCTTTTTGCTTTGGACCATTCTCAGTTCCAGATTGGCTGAGTTTGGTTTGTTTCCTTCTCCAGCTTGTGCTAAAAAGATGACATGAGAAGGTCAATAAAAACAGCAGTTTAAAAGTAAACAAGTTGCAATGTCTGATACCCCATTATATTTTTTCCTCTCTCCTCCCACTTCCCTTACTATCCTTGCTAAAGGTTTCTGAAGTAGAAGATGCAGATCAGCACTGTATTTTCTCAGCACCTCTGCTCTGCAGCATCTCTCTCCAGAAAAGAGCACAGCTCTGCTGTCAATTAGAAAGACACAAAGACATGCTTTGGGAACCCACTGTTCCCACCTCGATCTCCTTAAAAGTTCATAGACATGGGAACTCAATGGTAAAAGCAGCTGAAAAATGATTCTTCACATGGCCAACACGGCAAATAGACTGAATATTACTGGTTGACAAGCCCTTCTCAGTACCAAGCACATGCACTAAAAGGTAAAGTGAGTGAGCTATATTTAAAGCAGAATCTCCTCTGCACATCAAACTCAGTATTTCCTCAAGTTCTTTCACCACTGCTTTGCAAAGCAGTCGAGCACTGCCAGCATACTGCAGTCCCAATATAAGCTGAACAGTGACACCTTCAGTTTGGTGTTATCAAAAATAGGGCTGGAGGACACAGTAAAGAGCATACACTGACAAGACTACCTAGCTCTCATTCTCTAAATTCTCTAAATTCTCTGGGAGCTTCTGCACTGAAAGCTACTTTTCTGTGTCAGGAAACCCAGAAAGCTACCTAAATGTTTCTTTCAATGCAAACCCAGGCAAAGAGAGGGAAGAACAAGGTTTGAATGAATTACCTTTTGCACTCTTAATGGTCCTCTGCAGAACGTGTTGCATGGCTGACACAGTCTTTTCACATGCCACCTGCACATTACCATGACATGTTTAGGTTGTAGTAAAACTTCAGTTGCTCAGTTTAGTATTATTAATGCTACTACTCAGGCAAACACAACTGGCAAGACACAAACATGGTGACAATGAGGTAGTTTAGAAAAAAAAGGTTTTTAGAGTCTCTCAGCTCTACCCAGACAAGTATTAGAAACCATACACTTGTATCAATGACTGTACAGACAAAAGAGAAAGAAACAGAATAGATAAACAGTTTTCAATGCTTATTATGACGTGAGGATAAAATGTATTTATAAATGTGAAAATGAAGTCTCCAGAGGCAGAGCATCTTATTTGACAAAGCTACAAAATACTGAAATTGACCATGCGAAGTCATACAAGCTAAAATCTTGTAGGAAAAGGGACGTTCTACTTTCTTTACTCTGAAGCAAGAAAAATTTCTAATCAGATGAGAGTCCATAAATAATGTAATAGATTAAAACTTATTAAAAAAGAAACGAAGTCTGAACTTGCAGATAGGTAAAAAACCTCTTCCATACCTTCAAATTGTTTGGATGTTTATGTGTCCATGCCAAAAGCATAGCAGCAAACAAGTCTCCTGTTCCAACAAAGACAGCATCCACTTTAGGAGATTCCACTCGAATTCTCTGTGTTATCTTGGTACCATCTGCATTAGCTGCAACACAGAGACACAGTTAAGCAATTAATACAACAGCACCTACTATAATTTAAAAATGATTATCAGATTTGAATTCCTCTATTGTTTGGAATGTAAAGATGCCAAGGAGTACTGCAAACATTGTACCAGTTCTTTTTCAATTCAGTCCCAAAAAACTCTGCTGAGTAGGATAGCCTTTACAACTTACTTTTGTAGTACTTCACTTTTGTAGGAAAAGGGAACTAGTACAATTACTTTCATACAGAAATGGGAGCCTAAAATGTTTCATTTAGACTGCAGCAGCAGTTTGCTCAGATGCTGAGCAAGGGAATCTGCAGAATCCTAGGTGGACCATACCCAACCAGAATCTAGAGAACCTCTAGAGTAGGAACAGCAGAGAATATCTGATCCATGTGCCATGTTGTTATTGCCTCTGGAATTATATAACTTACTCAAGATTGGCATGTACTAAGCACTAACAAACATCAAGAGATTCTCAGTGAAGTCTAAATGAAATAGCAGTACTTTTTTTTGTTTGTTTCTCAGTCCAGAAAGTGGCACCTAGACTGAGACCACACAGACAAACAAAAAAAAACAAGATTATCTACCACATCAATAACTCTGTCCTTCTCATGTAGAAACATCCTGCAACAATCCAAACAGACAGTGACTCTTTGTGATGGTACAGATGGAATAGAAACAACAAGCAGAAGGGCGTTTTACAACCAAATATCAGGGAAGAACAATCTGTTAACAAAACAGTTAAACTTCTCATTAATGCCTCTAAGCCATCCAAAAGTTCTCTTTCATACCATTACTGCTTGTCAGGACCACTATTATGGATTTCAATAGCATTGATCACCCTCACACAGAACACCTACTCCTGTATCTTCTGCCCACTGGCCCAGAAGCTGTGCAGATGCTCAGGTATAAGCATCCATGCCGGAGCCATGTGGTAGGAGTACCTGCATCCTGTCCTGCTCTCCTTACTTCCTGACTGGAATTTGCTGATCAATCTCTGACCTACGTTGTCTCACCTTTCTTTGATGATCACTGGTCTGTCAGTGGGATCTGTATGCTACCACCATTCTGTTCTGCTCACCTTGTTCAGACATGCTATAGTCACCCCCACCTCTCAGCCTGTCTTTCCTCATTGAGCAGCCCTGCTCTTACTGCTCCCTGGTGTTATTGTACAGAAGGAGGAGTTCACTTAAGGAATTATCTCCTTGAACTACAAGTGGACCTGATGAAATCATTTCCTCACAAAGTGAAAGCACTGAACTAGTTTGTTTGTTTGTTTGTTTTAAAAAAAGAGACCAAACATACTAATGAAGCAGTTTGTAACTTACTTTTCCTGTAGCTTCCCAGAGCAATCAGGTAGTCGTTTCCTAGCGGTGCCTGTAGATCTGAGCTGGTTATCACCACAGTCTCTGGTCCCATGGCATGGAGCATATCCATTACCTTCCCATGTGCAAAAAGGCAGGAATCAGTGATCAACATGTGTTGATTAAATCTTGCATCATCCAGAGCAATTTTTCACAAGCACATTACTTTGCCATCTTTTGTAGAGAATGAATGGTTTTCACTCAAATAATTCACTTGAATTAGTGGTATTAATTTGAAATAGGGGAATCATTCATATTTAATGCACACACTTGTTCAAATATCCAAGTATCTCTGTTATCTTTGGATGCTTCTCTGAAATAGCTGAAACAGAATGTTCTTTATCAAAACTTTTCTCTGCATCATGTTTCCAAAACATACTATCAAAAGAACAAGAGAACAAGTACAGAGAGACATGCATCTGAGCTGGTATCTTTAAACACATACTACAAAGGTAGGAAGTTCAGGCTGGGAAGTATTGTTTAGTTACATATTTAGGAGTTAGCAAAAACAACAACTTAAAGAACTGAGTTGGAGGCACAACTGTGCCTATCTCCATCTTCCTTTCCCATTCTGTTACAAATACAAAATATTCACCAGTAAATTATGTACCTAATAGATGAATTATCTCTCAACGTATTCCTCACTTAAAACCATTAACGCTCTACTTCTGACACCACAGCTGGTTGTTACAAGACTGGTTTGGATTCCACAGAAGAGTGAATGACTTTAGGTAATGAGTTTAGCATAAAATACACAAAATATTAGTTTTCCCAGAAGTGTTGAACTAAAAATTCCCTCAGGCTGGCTATGACGCATGAACAATTGAATGGTAAGGATTAATATGTGCTTTTTAAGAATTCTCTGTCTTTTGTCTAGTAAGCCTCCAAGTTTCTTCAGCTGTCACAACTCTCAGCACAGACATCAGTTGGGTTTTAAAGAAGCAGTGAGCTCACCAACACATGCTGACATGATCAGCCCGCAAATAACATTAAACTTGATTTCTCTTCTCATCCACGATTTAACAAGCATCTACTCTATTTCTGGTTGTGGGACTCAGCCTCCTCTACATTAAACTTAGGCTACACTTAATTTTTTGTTAAAAAAAAAAAACAACAAAACAACAACTCCGCTGTCACCACTGGTCTTGCTGAAGAAATCAGTGAAAGCATGTCACCTTGGGAATAGATAGCAGAATTCCTACCATCTCCAAAGGGAACAAATTCCAGCACAAATTATTACTTTGAAGGAGAGACGTGTATATAATAAGCAGCTCAATGAGAAAGACATACGTAAATGTAATAACCTGCAAGCAGCTTTTAAAAAATGTTTCCATCCTAAGTCTAATTCCATCAAGTTGGCTGGAAGATGATACCAAGTTGGCTGGAAGTGTGGATCTGCCTGGTGGTAGCAAGGCCCTACAGAGAGACCTGGACAGGCTGGAGAGCTGGGCTGAAGCCAATAGGATGAGTTTCAACAAGGCCAAATGCTGAGTCCTGCACTTGGGCCACAACAACCCCAGGCGATGCTACAGGCTTGGGGCGGTGTGGCTGGAGGACTGCGTAGAGGAAATGGGCCTGGGGGTATTGATTGATGCTCGGCTGAACATGAGCCGACAGTGTGCCCAGGTGGCCAAGAAGGCCATGGCATCCTGGCTTGCATCAGAAACAGTGTTGCAAGCAGGAGCAGAGAGGTGATTGTTCCCCTGTATTCAGCACTGGTGAGGCCGCACCTCGAGTACTGTGTCCAGTTTTGGGCCCCTCACTGCAAGAAAGATATTGAGGCCCTGGAACGTGTTCAAAGGAGGGCAACAAAGCTGGTGAGGGGTCTGGAACACAGGCCATATGAGGAGAGGCTGAAGGAGCTGGGAATGTTCAGCCTGGAGAAGAGGAGGCTCAGGGGAGACCTCACTGCTCTCTGTAACTTCCTGAAGGGAGTTGTAGTGAGCTGGGGGTCGGCCTCTTCTCTCGTGTCATTAGTGATAGGACCAGGGGGAATGGCTTCAAGCTACGGCAGGGGAGATTCAGGCTGGACATGAGGAAGTATTGCTTTTCAGAAAGGGTGGTCAGGCACTGGAATGGACTGCCCAGGGAGGTGGTGGAGTCACCGAGCCTGGGGGTGTTCAAGGAAAGGCTGGATGTTGTGTTGAGGGACATGGTTTAGTAGGAGCTATTGGGAATAGGTGAACGGTTGGACTGGATGATCTTTTAGGCCTTTTCCAACCTTGGTGATTCTGTGATTCTATGATCTTCACAGGAGATTTTTAAAAGCTTAAAGAAGAACTAGCATTCACGAGTTGGAAAGTTGTAATTGTTTAGCACATGAAACTAATATTTGCTGTTGTAACATGCAAACCAAAAACCAACAGGTGCTCAGCCAATGGAGTTGTTCTGAAGACTATGGTTCCACTTGGGAGGATGAGAATAGAACAAATGAGTAACAGCAGCTAGGTAGCATTCAGCACCCTCATCCATCACAGCGCAGTAATATAGAACTGATGTGAAAAGGAAAACGAACTCAGATCTTTGGAGCTGCTTTTTGCTGTGAAGAGATGGTAGTCAGCTGACACTGCATGACGTTGCTGGAGGAAAAAAACAATAAACATTAGGGCTGACAGAGCCCAGCTACTCTCCAGGGTTCCTCTGCAGCTGTTGTTTGTTTAAAGATTGTGTTCCTTTGAAGTTCAAAATCAAACTGGCATAAATGACATCAGTCCATTATGAAAGCACTTGACTTGTCAACAAAACAAAAAGCTCAGATCTTTTTTAAAAACAAACATAAAACTACATTCCTATTTTGTCCTTCATCACCATATCCTATAGCTTTTTAAAAGTTATTCAACCTGTGTAAAAGGGTAAATCCTTACACCTCCATGCAGTGCACTTGCAGATTACCTATCATTAATGTAGGATGATGAGAGCAGCTGCCAGCACTCCAGATCTGTCCACCTTTCACCAGGAGTTACCTGAGGGTCATCACTCCAATCCATTTCCCATCTATGCACTGCTTTTGCAATGCAGGTCTCATGGCCTGCAAGTCAATTTCCAAAAAAAAAGAAACAAAACAACAGCCAACGCTGTATTTGGTCAATCCTCTTCAAGAGTTTCCTAGCAAGCTCTCTTCCTAGCAAACTGTGTCAATGGGAGAATGAGAAACAGCCGTGCTACCACTCAGCATTGCTGCTGCACGACTAGCATGTGAACAGCAGAGGGAGCGACTTACACAGGTTTCTAATGAGCAGAATCCCTCGGGGTTTTCACCTCAGCCAATGGCAAGGAACCACACTGTCAGCAGTACTGATCTGCATGCATGCTGCTGCTTCCCTCCTACACTGCAGAAACTCAGTGACCTGCTCATTAACACTGCACTGTCTTTATTTGTAGTTCTTTCGGGAAGTTTCTTCAGAAGTCTGACAGGAGAACAGAGAACGCTTTGCACACTGACAGTACAAGGCTTTAACGACTGATGGAGAGAGAGAGGCCAAAGTGATTTCAAGGTTAACGACAAATGGCAAACACTGCAGGTAGAGTTAAAGAATAAGATCTTGCACAACCTATTCTTTATTTACTTACCTCTAAAGCATCTTTTTCTGTGTAAATCTTCCTCCCAGTAAGTAACCTGAGAATGAAACAGAAATCTTGAAGGAGCCACATCTCCCAGGCAATAACAGCTTTGTTTATTCTTTGAAAGGATGAAAGCTTAGACTTAAACAATTTGTTCACTATGCAGTCTGCTGTACCAGACTGCAGTCTTTAGAAGTCACACGCACAGATACAAAGTGGTTCTGCAGCATGATTGTATCAGTTCTAACCAAATTCTGTACCCTAACATTACTTCATGAGCATTTTCTCTCCATCTCCTACATAGCTGCTCCCTCCCTTTAGGGGGACAGCAGTAATGTATCATAACAGATTATCTCCTGACCAAAGAGTCACGGCCATGGAGACAGGGTGAGGATGAGGCAAATTCTTATTTCACATCGGATGTTGCCATGGTGGTATTTCTAAATCAAAATCAGGGAGTTTTAGTCAAACTATTTCAGTTTTTAATATTATGACATATAATACAAATTTTTGCAGGAATGGGTAGAACAAGAGAGGGAAGAGAGGTATTTTTTCAACAACTGTAGATATACAGTCTCTGGAAGCAGTCATGTAAAACAAGAGACTGGAGAAAATAAAATAATGGTGTTCCTCAAATAAATCCCTTTTTTTTTCCTGGCTTCAGTATAGAACAGTTTGAAGAAGAGCAGTACTTTAAAGCAACAGCTAAAAACCAAAACCCAACACATGCATACATACAGCACTATACTGAGACAAATGAAAGAATGAGTACCAGCCTCCCGTTTTTATCCCTGGGTTTACTTGAGTATAAAAGAAATGGAGTACTCACTCAGCCTCAAACTGGTTAGGAGTAATTATATCAGCAACGGGTACAACTTTGTCCCTATAGACTGGGAGGAGATCCTTAGGCACATACTGAGGGAGAAAAAATAGTATGAAGTGTCATCAGCTATTTCAGATATGGGAGTGACATGCTCCTTCCCTGAACTACCATTCATGCTGACACTTCGTAATCTTAAAGCTCCCAGTGTACTGTTAGGTAGCAGGAATTAAAGTGGCTGTGCACTCCGCAGCTGGTGACAGTGGGAGGTGACTGAAACCATCACTAAGTACTCCTAAACTGCATTAAAAGGAAGCGATGTCTACACAAAGAGTTTTGGGGTTCCCTCTTACCAAGATGACAAAGCAGTATAAGGAACAAAAATGGGAAACACTTTTTCTTGTCCATATCTCTAAAATAAACTACTTTGCTGTTGTACCAATGGAATGGAGGTTCTCTGCTGCATCACTGCAATACATTGGTTGTATTGCACTGTAGGGACTGAGGAACAAGCAACATTTATGTTGTGTTATTTTGTCCCCTCTTTTCAGTGCAATATTTCTAGGGTGTGCTATAAATTCATACACATGAATGCTAAATTCATGTGTATGAATGTATGCCACATAAATGTATGCCAGTCACATACTTTGGTGACTTTAAGTAACAAGGGCCAATGCTCTCTCTTCTGCATTCCTGTCCCACCTCTATCCCATCTTCTTTAGCTATATACAGCTGATTAGCACAGGCAGACTGGTTCTCTTATTAGGTGACATACATCAAGATACAGCAGGAGTCTAAAAGACCATAAGCCCTTCAGACTTGGAAGAAAGTTGAAAAGCATCAGCTTTTTTTGGCATGGAATGGAGTTCAGCAAGGAGCTAAATTGCAGGCCTCAGCTCACCTTCCTGCATCCTGTTTTAGCTCTATTTAACAAAGCCTACATTAAATTTCTTTGTTTACTAGTAGCCATTCTTCATTAGCACCCCATTTTCCAAATCAGGATTAATCTTTCCTTTTGTCTACGTTTTATTTTCTCTATTAGGCACATCAGCTACATAGGACAGGGTGTACATACAGATGCATCCTGTGTTCACCTCCTGCTTCAGCTGTATTAGTGACAGATAAAACCTCATTATGTTATTGACCATTAGGTGATATCAGAACCACCCATCATCTTGGGACTGAGCTCACTTATGTTGTCTCGATGAAGTAATGATGCCACTGGACTCTGATTTTAGACAGGAATACAAGACTAGGTCACATCTAAATCAAGACCTCTTAAATAACTGTTTTATTACTTTTTACATCAGAAGTGAGTTGGTGGGTTGTGTGCTAAACTTTCTCATCTTATTCCATCTACCTTGTGTTCTACCCAAAAGATATGGGTAAGTCCATGGTTATGACTTCTCCCAAGAGCTTTTCAAAGTCACTCCACAGCTAATGCATCTCTACAGATACTATATTTCTGACTTGTTAGAAAAATCCAAGGACAATAAATATTGCAATGGACATAAAATAAAAGCATGAGACCACAAAAATCAAAGGCAAATTTATTACTAAGTGCTACTTCACGTGACTTTTCAGGAGCAGGTAAACTGTAAGAAGGTACAAGGACAAAGAGAAAATCATAGTGTGTGACCAGCTAAGGCAGAAGAAAATATTTTATATCATCATTGCTGATCTTTTCCCACATTGTACTTTTACAGAAACAATCTGCTATTGTTAAGAATGAAACGTTTCCTTATTTGCAATGCACTGGCACACCAAACCTTTCTGTCTCTGTCACTGTAACAGCCCAACGCCTAACAGGCATCACAACTCACATGAAATAAGTCATCTTCATTTAGGTTCAGGTGGTATCCAATTCATATAATCACAGAACATGAGCAAGCCTACCAGCTGGAACTGCTATCTTGACAGAAGATGAGAGAACTCCAGAGAGAAGTGGAGGGGAAGCAGGGGGATATTTTCCTCTGGACAGGGTATATAGACTACCTGTTCTTAGCAGGGAATTAAGAAGTCTCAGGGCTATGCAGTCACTATCTTCCCTTATACTAAACTCAAGCGAATATAGCAGCTGTGGTACAAACGTAGTTGATGCTGGGATTCAAAGCCACACTTGAGGAAAATGGTTTAGTCTTTGGTTTAAAACCAATAAAATTCTATGCATATATACTTATACAGCAAATACTCAATATACCAAGAAAAAGATAAGGACTAACCATGGAGCCTTCTCCATTCCATTTGTCTCCCATCACTGGATCACACACTGTAACAGAGAACAAATCTAGTTTTAGAAATGGGGCCCTATGTTTACTTAAGTGCAAAATTATACTCGCCCAACATACACACAAAATGTTGAATTGTACACATTAAAATTGTGTATTAAAAAGAAACAAAAAGAAAATCCAGAACAAAGGACAAACTCAAATTTAATGTAATATCACACACTTGGCATGTGTCCTGAATCTTGTTAACAATGTATTTTAAGTGCCCTCAGTTCCAAGAAAGAATGGAAACAGCCTAGCCTTGTACTTGAAAAAAGTAGTAATTGTCTTCAAAGAGCTTTCAGCAAGATAAAAAAAAATACAAATTGCAAAGTATCAAATCAATGTCTAATGAGTATTTAAGAAAGTTTCTTCAAATAACAAGTTTCATTTGTTTGAAAGGATTTTCCTTACAACATGATCCCACTACTAAATATAAAGGGTCTTAGAAATCTTGCTAAGATCTCTCTAGCTGACCACTTCCTCACCATTCTGTGCTTCTTTCTGTTCATACCTCAACACAGCCTTTAGCTTTCACAATACCAAATTGTACTGCAAACTGAAATACTGAAAATCAAGTTCATGGAGATCTCTTCACTACACTTTCAGAACAAGAACTGTACTTTGTTAACTCTAAATCTGACATCAGACTATGCAGTATGGTGCCCTGCAAACCCTGTTAACCATCACAGATGCCTGATGACACGGTGTGTTGAACCTGAAGATGGTTCAGCCATCATTCCCAGTTCTTTACCCCAGTAAATGCCACTGACTTTGCTGTGTTACTGTGAATTCTTTGCTCAGTTCAAGCCCATGCTGGTTGAGTTTCATACTGAAACACTCAGGGAATCTCTTCTCACAGGTCTGTTGCTCTTCAAGCATTCCCAGGTAATCTTAACAGAGGGAACCAGAGTTAAACATGCCTCACAGCTTAAGCCAAATTATTAAGCTTATAAGGCACATTAATATACCTGTGGGATGTAGCAAGAAACCACATCAGGGCAGTGTGGGAGAGTCTATCCTACTTTTGACTGACCTGGAAATCAAGAAGAGGCTTCAGCCATTTGTGCTCCCAGCCTGTGCTTATGAATACAAACAGCAACAGCCAGCTGGGATTTCACAAAACTTCCTTTCATACATTACTACTTAATACACGCTTTTCTTTGGACATTTCATAACATATGAAACATACTGAAAGGCATAATATCACAAAAATCAAATCAATTTTCAATAATGCTGAAATGAAACTTCATCGGAGTCTGAGCTGGTCCCAGCCAGATCAGAGCACAAGATGGCCAAAATACTGGGTTACATCAGACTGACATTTTCATCCTAAAATGTGAAAATGATGGGCATATACAACAAAGTAGCAGAAAGAATTATAACTCACATCCTTACCATATACTAGGTTAGAATTCTGTTGCTTCAACTCTTGCACAATATCCACCACCATTGCAAGAAATGATGTGTCTCTTGTATATCCTTGACAAGAAAAAAAAAAAGAAAAATATCTTTGAAGTAGATTTTCAGGAAAGTTTTTCTTGGGGGGGGAGGGGAGGGGGATGGGAGCTGGTCAATGCATAACAGAGAATGGCATTTTTTAGTATTTTTTTCAGAAATAACAGGTGGAAGGCAAATCAAGGCACTCTCTACTCGCCTTGAAATACAATTCAGAAATTCATTTGCTATATGCATGATACATTTAGTGCTCATATGACTTCAAAATGCTTGGACGTATATACAAAAAGGTTTGGACAAAAGGAAAAAAAAAGTCCTTCTCTTTAAAACGCCAGTTTGAGCCAGCACTATTTCATATATAAAAATATTCTAAGTTCCATATACTTTTCTCATATTCCAGTTAGAAACAGTGTGGATTTTTTCCTTCCAACATATTAATGCAATGGAGAATTAAACTTGACCATTTCAGAGCAATGGCCAATATACCACTAAAATTCCTAATTTGGCTTAGCAGTGAAATAAGTTGTAAAATGATTTTGTTACATCACAAGGCCCTCACCACAATGATAGCACTACAACATTCGTAGAGTTATTTATTTATAATACCTGTTTCTTCATTTATATATTTACTATTGTGTTTATTTTATGTATTCATTTTATTTATAACGTATTAATTAGTAATTGCATTTTCATTTCCTTTAGTTCATGTAGTAGCATTATTCTAGCAAGGTAGTGCCTTCAGCTGGGAAATGCTCATTCCAGTAAAATGTATTTTTAGAGATTTTTTTTTTTTTTTAAGTTGTAAAATTGTTCCAATTTTTACACACTGAGAAGAAATGGAAGAAACTTTCAAGATTTTGAGGCAAAATGCTCTGTCCGTATTAATGATAGTCAGCAAAAAAAGCCAAACAAACAAGGAAAGATTTTGTTTTAAGATGGGCCGTCATGTTAGACTGACTTAATAAAAAACAAAGTAAACATTGGTAATAGAGGCATTTCAAAAGCACTACAGCGAACCCGTGTTTATCTGGCACCTTGAATGCTTCACTGCAAATAAAACAAAGAGATGAAGATCCACAAGTAAGTGACAATCACAAAAGCTAATGAGGTGTCATTTTACAGAATCAGACTAAAGAGAATCATTTCCATTTCAGCCATGATATCTACAGTAATCAGACATGCAGTCAAATACAACCAACTGATAAATTAACGTAAGTGTTTGATAAATCAGGTCGTCTGAGGTAGCAAGCTATGGCTGTGCAACACAGTGAGTCACTGTCTCTGCCTGAAGAGAAAAATCTTTTGACCTTGGATGAAGAAAGCCAGATATTTAAGTTCAGCTACAAATCAACTCAACACTTAACAGATGAGATCACAGGAAGTGAGTGCCACTTTCACCCACTTCTCATTGTCTACACGAGAATACACTGAACAGGAGTTTTAAACAAACTTGTACAAACCACAAACCTACCTATACACCTATCATATTTTAAAAGGCATTTTAATAGTTTTTCTTCAAAATGTCTTCTATAGGTGAAGATTTCTGATCTGCTGCATTTTTGCCAGTAGAAGACACTAGAAGAAAAGGAGTTGGGGCAACTTTCAAGAGTGAAAAGTAAAATAAAAAAGGAACACCTTAAAAAAAAAAAAGAAAAGAAAAGAAAAGAAAAAAAAAACCAAACACCTCAAACACTGTTTGTTGCCTACTAACACTTCCTGAAAACTCCTGCAATACAATTGGCTCTTCTAGGAAACGTCCTCTAGGTGTCTTCTTTCAAGGAAGGAGGTGCTGGAGCAGGTCCAAAGAACAGCAACAGGGCTGTGAAGGGCTTGGAGAATATGCCCTATGAGGAGAGACTGAAGGAAATGGGGTTGTTTGGCGTGAGGAAAAGGAGGCTGAAGGGAGACCTCTTGCTCTTTTCAAATACCTGAAAGGGGATTGCAGTGAGAGTGGGGTTGGTCTCTTCTCACTGGGACAGGACGAGGGGAAATGGCTTCAAGTTGTACCAGGGTAAGTTTAGGTTGGATATCAGGATACACTTCTTTACAGAAAGAGTTGTTAAGCACTGGAATAGGCTCCCCAAGGGGGTGGTTGAGTCACCATCCCTGGATGTGTTTAAAAATCGTTTGGACGTGGTGCTCAGGGACATGATTTAGCGGAGGATTGTTAGGGCAGTATGGTCAGGTTGTGGTTAGACTTGATCTTTAAGGTCTTTCAACCTGAGCTATTCTACAATTCTATGATAGAAAGGATGTTCTTTTATTTTTCAATCTTAATGGACCCATTTATGCTGAAATAGATTTCTTAATTTTAACTCAGTCTATTTTCTATTTAGCCTCCTTTAATTTGGAAAAATGTCCTGAAATGGAAGGAAATGTAGCTTTTTAGATATATCATATCCTTCAATCCAGTATGTCTGCTCTGAGGTTAAATCCATTCGGTTAAAGTCTCCAGTTTTCCTTGTGTACAAAGAAAGCACCTTCCTACATGAGGAAGCTGTGAAGTTAATTAAATCAGGCAATTTAATTCTATTTACCTTTAAAAAGTGGCTGCTCACTGCAATAAAAAATGATACTGTAATCTAAACCAGATGCATACCTCCCACTGAGGGGAAACCCCATCAGTACTCTACTCTGAAGAAACAGGAATTGGATGAGAAGCAGTTCGTAATTAAAAATGCTCTTATAATCTCTAGTTTTATAAAGCATTATACATGAAGTTCCCTTTGCAATATTTATGAGCACTTTCCACACAGTGGTGCATAAAATTATGTCCCACAGAACTGCATCTACTTGGGGAAAATGAAAGGACCTGGAAGAACAAAATATCAAGAAATACAACAGACTAGAATACGAAATCTGTATTGAAAACACAACCTTTTGAAGATCAGGTAAGTAAAACACGGACAGATAACTACATATAAAAGTTACTGATTGTACAGCAGAGAGCTACTAATGAGAATTTAGTAGAAAGAGTCTTCAGGACAAATTTAAAAATAATATTCTGACATTCCTCTTCTTTTTTTTTTGGAGTTAATATTTTGTGAGTGACTAAGTCTGTACATGACTGGCCTGTGCAAGTCTGTAAGCTATAGATGAGGATCAATTAACCCATTCCATGACAGCCTTCAGGCAGGAAAAAGACTGTTTCAAACTAAATAGCTTAAGCAGTTATGACTACAATATACAACTGAAGTTACAGGAGATTGAGAAGAAACATGTAATTTCATGGTTTGGAATAAGGAAGGATATGTATGGAAACTGTTGAGTCACGTCCTGAACCACTGATTCATCACATGGGGAAAGGACTGGGTCAGCCCTAGGAGCACAAGTGAAGGCAATTCAGCTTTGTGACAAGAAGGGGTGGAGCCCAGCTGCACTTCTCTTAGATCCCATTTAAGGGCTGACTGCCATTGGGGAAGAATCTCTTTCTGGAGATCTCTCTTTGGTAGAGCTTTCCCTTACGAACCTGGAATCTTCTTCCCTTATAGCACCTTTCTATCATGCCCATCCTTCTGTCATTACACCTCTGGTGAAACACCTTTTCCCATCACATTGATATCTCTATGCTCATTTACGTTTCGTGTCAACTCCAAAAAAAAAAAACCCAAAAAAAAAAAAACAAAAAAACCAAAACCCAAGTCATTCTTTACCTGTGAGTACATAATCATATTGGTTGACCTTGTTCAGCTTAAGTCCTTCATACAGTTCATGAAGTTCATCAGAATTTAACACCTGACCCTTCCAGTGGGCATAACCTGCAAAAGAAAAGCCAGGTAATTTTACAAGCAAGATATCCTAATCAGGATTACAGAGTTCAAACACTTGGAGGGACAGTATCAGACATCATCAGCAAAAGGCATTTCTTTCTCTTATGCACCACTGTTGAATGAAGGCTGCTGTCAGCAGAACTGCTCCATTCTCAAACAACCACTGTTTCCCAGAGGAACTAGTGACACTACTATGCAAATTTAGATTGCCCATTCATCAATGAAATGAGTAGAGCACACACAAGCTCACCTATGTTTTCCCATGGAGCCTACACAACTGTTTCTTTCCTGTTGTGAGGGTGATAGACATATTTTATGGGAAGCCTCATTATGGGGAGGCTATTAGTGGAATCTATTTTTGATATTTCATATTAGAATTAAAAAAAAAACCCACAGACAGCAGGATGACCTTTAATTACTAGCCATGAACTCTGCACTATGCAGACCCTAGATTTTGCCCAGAAGAAAATAGGCTTGTAGGTCTATCTGAAGACCTCTCTGCAGGCATGCAGAACTTTCGCATTTGTAGTCACACGCTGCATAGAGTGACTACAGCAGAATAATGTCACAGGATGTTCTTTAAACATGTAATTTTATCTCACAGAGTGCATTCTGAAAAGAGGACAACTCTAATATTGAGGGTGCTGGAGGAGGCAAAAGAGTATTAGAAAGACATCAAAAACCAGACGAACAATATCCATATCCTTGAATGATCCCTAGGAATTATAAGCAAGTATTTTTGGCTGAGAAGTGAAAAAGAAAGCACTTCCAATCTTTGTTAAGTTCAGGGTTTGTTAAAAAGCTTTTCTTTTTATTAAGTGAGATTAGGAAAAGTGAAATGTTACACTAGTATCTTCTTCCACACCAGCCCTGTGAAGAGAAAATGGTATTTTATCTTAATTCCTGCTCTTGGATTTGGAAAGTTCTGTGATAAAAACTCTTGGCTTTGACTATCGCTCTAAACTGTGTTATTAAAGTAGTTGCTAAAAGGTGCCCAGAGACTAGGACAAGCACATTTTTCAGTTTCCCTTCTTATAAATGCAAAAACACCCACAGCAGGGTGAGCAGATGGATCATTTTGCTCTCCTTATCTCATGAAGGCCTGGTCCCTAAACCGTGACTCTACGCCAACTGGCGAAGGGACTGATGGCAGCAGCACTAGGATTTTCTCCTTAGTAAATGGGTTTTCAAAGTCCTTGCAAAGAAACGGGCCAAGCAGGAGATTCCCACACGTCAGGACAGTAGTTTCACTCCAGCAGAGATACTGTGGCAACATCTCACACGTAGGCATGCCTCTCGCTCCAACTATGAGACGGAGCCTTGGCTGCAGCTGTCTCAAGCACTTGGCTTACTCACCATTTATACAACTGCTTGTTCTGCCACACCACAGTTTTAGAGAGACATAACCTCTCCTTTTTCCCCCCAATCTATATTTCTATTGGCACTCCAAAGCCAGTTCAGATAGGGACACAATGCACTTGTATTCCACCACATCCAGAATTCACTGGAGAAGCTCAGCACATTCCTCCTAACACAGTAATTCACCAGGCATGTGAGGAGAATGCCCTCCTCTAGGGAAGAACTGAGGGAAGCCACAGCTCCTTAAAAGAAAACAGGCAATGCCTTCACTGGATCTGCATGGAACTGGGATTCTACTGGGAGCTGAACTACGTTTGAGTGAGAAGAAATAAAATCAATGCTGATGGTGACATGGAAACCACCCTGAACCCTTTCCCCAGGGTATCCTCACGTAACATAACAAATTAAGTGCATAAACCCATGACCCTGCCTTTATCTTACTTTCCAGCCAGATAGCTGGATCTGTAGAGAGACAGAAGAAAAAGGCAGTTGACTGTTGCTTAAAAAGGACCTTGAGGTCCCAGGAAGATGAAGGGAACTGATGTGAAACTGGAAAAGCATGGGTAAGCTCTAGTAAGAATCCAGACAGATATTGGGAGGTCAAAAATACAATGTGCAGCTGCAAATAGCAAGGAATGACAAGAGCAAGCCTAAACACGTAAAGGCTTTGAGGAAAACCACCAGAATTAAGGACAATAAAGAAGAACCTCTGTATTTCTTGGCTGGATGTGAATACTTGTCAAGCAATGAGTGCAGCTGAAGTTGCAGAGTTGCATTGCAGCAAGACCTAAAGGAAAACCAGCACCCTAGAAACATTATTCCCATACCTATACCACTACATATGGATACTGGGAAACAGGAAGAAAATAGTTTAAGTCTTCTTTTTACTGCCACTTACTGAAGACTCTCCCTCTGCAATCATATCAGAGTGGTACTTAGCAATACAAAAGCACAGTCTCACAGCATCTGGTTATCTGCACACAGTGTACAAAAATCACAGCCAAGAAAACTTAATAATGAGTTCCAAGTTTGTACTTGGTAAAAAAAAAAAAAAAAAAAAAAACTTGGTCCCATTTGCAAATTCCAATGGTGGCTAAGCACAGTAGAAAGATTAATAAGTGTATCCTACATCTTGGAAGTTAGTGTCAGATTATGGCTTGTGCCTTCCAAAAAGGAAGAAAGATGGATCTTCTTTCAGTTACAAAATCACTGAATAATTCCACTCAGTGCCAGACTAAGCAAGCAGAGGAACGCTGCCAGTCACGACACTGCTTCCCAAAGCTCCATTTACTCTAGCTGACTGCATTAGTCTCCTGGATTAATAAAAAGACTTAAACACATAGTTGAACATAAACTATAAAACATCTGCAAACCCTTCTACTTAACTATATTATAGCCTTTTATTGCAGTTAAATGTTACATATACATTCTAAGTAGGCAAGGGAATAAAAATCATGGGAGATATGGTGCTTCTTGCCTCTCATCCCTCTAAAATGATGAACCTGTCCACTATTTTCCTGGGAAATTCTTTGTTCACCTGCTAGTAGTATGCCGAAACGCCCAAGAGGAATTTGTGTGTTTTTCTTTTTTAACCTTCCTCCACTGGTACATTTTTCTTTCCCTTGGAATGCATTTATAAGCTTCTCAATTACTTTCAAGAACGAAGAGAAAAAGACTAAAAATCCCAGGCATATCAGAAGAAAAACAAAACAAAAACAAAATCACCATTTAAGCACAGCAAGGCATGTAAGATTTCTTTGTTTCCAATGAGAAACATTCTGTTCTGAGGTTAGAGCTTCCTCTGTTGACTCCCTAGAATAATGTTCTGAGTGTCCAGCTGTGGGCTCCCCGTTTCAAAGAAGACAGAGATCTCCTAGAACAAGGCCAGTGGAGGACTGCAAAGATGATAAAGGGCCTGGAGCATCTCCTGTATGAGGAAAAGCTGAGAGTCCTGGGTCTGTTCAGCCTGGGGAAAAGACAACTGAGAGGAGATCTGATAAATGTTTATAAATATCCAAAGGGAGGTGAGAGGCAAATGGATGAGGCCAGGCTCTTCTCAGTGAAATGTAGCGATCGGACAAGGAGCAATGGCCTAAAACTTGAACATCAGGAGTTCTATACTAACATGCAGAACAACAACTTTACAGTGAGAATGATGGAGCACTGGAACAATCTGCCCAGGGAGGTTGTGGAGTCTCCCTCTATGGAGATATTCAGGACTCATCTGGACATTTACCTATGTGACCTATTGCAGGGAACTTGCTCTAGCAGCAGGTTGGACTCAATGATATCTTGAGGTCCCTTCCAACTCCCGTGATTCCATGATTCTGTGACACTTGTCAATAAGCAAGTATTTCACATGAGGAAAAGGAAGAAAGATCAGGTATTTAAGGCATGTGATGGACAAGCAGTCTGGTCTCAGCTGTGCAAAAAAAATTCACACGCAAACACTGCAGACAATCTGACCTAAAAGCATTACTTAATCTTCAGCTATAAGGAAGGCTTCAATCAGAAATGCAGTTCCAAGTTCTCCACTGGACAGAACTGGAGCATTATTTACAGCTGCTCAGTGTGGGAGTAAAATATTGTCACTGTTAGGCACAAGGGAGGATTATTTCTTTTTGTCCCGCACTCTGTAGTTGTGAGTGACTGTATATAGGTGGCAGACTGTGAAGAATCACATCGACAAGAAATAATTATAATTTCTCATACATCAGAACTACCATTCAACCCAGCTGCCCACACAACCCCCTAAGTCGAAGTCAAAAGTGCCCTGTTTTAGAAAGGAAAAGAAAAGGACACAATACCAAAGCCAGACTATTTTTTCTGGAACAGCTTCAAAGGTAGAATTTGGGTGGCAGAGCAAGCACAGTGCGTGCTTACCATTAACTTGCCAATTAAAAACAAAACCACAAATCATGGAAAAATTAAAAGTGTGCCCCAAAGCAAACTGATAGTCAAAGTAAGACGAGGCTAGATTTTTAATTTTGCACCTTAGACATGTAGATGCTTTTGCACACAGTAAAGCAATAAGGAACTAAAAACCCAAAATCACTGTAGGTTGCGTGACAGATTCTTTTATTTCCACACAAAGCACGATGGCAGTCAAGGGTGAGTCACTCTAATCATAGCATAACATTGCCTCACGGAGCAACACGACACTGTTCTCCAAGGGGGCTGATTTAAAACATGTTTTCCAAATCTCAGGATTATCAGAGACTAAAGAAAGCTGAATTCTCTGAGCAGGAGTCAGCAGAAACAGGTCTGTGTTATCCTAATCATTTATTAAAGGAATACTGGTTCACTAAAGAAGGTCTGTTAGTCGTGAATTCTCCCTGGGTTTTATCTTTTACTGACAAGATTAAGTTTAAAGATGGAGATGTGAAAGAAAATTCACTGTTTTAAACAGCCACATCATGTACTTTGCTACCTGTACCCACTCCAGCATGTCACATTCTTTTAGAAACTATGTTCACAGCTAGTCTTTGAAGCAGAAGTTGCATCTTGACTGCAGCAAGGTTTCTAATAAGACGCTGTTCGCATAAGAAAATCAATGCTTTTCTTTCCAGTTCACACAGCACATGATCCCTGTGTATTGTGGCACTGCTCCAGACACAAGCCATAGCCCAGTACTGTACTTCATGTTCACTAATCCCAGGCAGTAGCACAGAGCTCACGTACATTAACTTGCGTGCTGTCATGCACAAACGAACTGCAGAAGTCGCTACATGAGAACACAGCTCTATGTTCTCCCTTGAAGGGGAAGTTCTATGCCTCTTGGCTTTGCAAAACTAGGCTTAGAATCTATCCTTCAATTTCACAAAGGTTCCAGTAGAAGAACTATTGTCAGAAAACCAGACCCAAACATCATATAAGGGAATGTGTCCCCTTCCTATCTTCTCCACTCCTTCCTTTTTCAGCCAAATGACCAACACTTCAAGATACAAACTTCTTTTATTTACTCTTCACTAGTGCTACCATACTCTGATTTTCTTTCTGACAGCAGTTTGCCAAAGTCAGGAGACTGCACACCAGTCTTTGAGGGGTTTTAAAGGCATTTACCAAGACAATCAAGATTAAGGGAAAATAAATGGAGAATGCGATTCCTGAATACCAGAAGACAATACTGGAACAGGCTGCTCAGAGAGGCTGTGGGGGCTCCTTCTTAGAGATACACAAGATCTGTCTGGATGCCTAACTGTATATTGTAGGGCACCTGCTTCAGCAGGGGTTGGACTCGATCATCTCCTGAGGTCCCTTCCAACACCTGTGATTCTGTGATGAGTCCTAAATATTTTAAAGAACTGCTTACTTAATTCTTGAACATTCTGCTTCAAGAATCTGATCATTCTATTGGTAACTTAACTTGCCTACTTTCAGACACATTCAGTTTATGGTCTAATAAAAGCTCTTTAAAACTCTTTTAACACCATATAAAATTGATTTATTCTTAACACCGAAAACCCAGAGATGACAAAACAAACACCAATCCATTCTGAGCATCTCATTATTTCAGATGCAAAAAATTGCTTCATTTCTGGAAGATTATAACACTTTTACCCAAAGAAACAAACATCACTAATTTCCAAACTAAATACATTAAAGTCACATCAAAACCTCTGTTAAAGCATAAGCACACCTTTGTACTGTACCAAAGGTTACAAGCAGAACAAATAGGTTTTTGCCTGAGCCAAGAGAGATCCCACAGTCCTAGTTTAATTATTACTACTTTTGCGCTTTTTCCTCTACTGCCACTGAAGCTTTTAAATGATAGGAGCATCCTCTAAACTTCTAAAAGCTGCCTGGAGCTGAACATGCTTAGAGGACAGAGGCCTGCTGGTTTGCTCTCTGTTCAAAAAATTAAGCAGGTGATTAATAAAGATGTACCTCTGACATACTAGTAAACTATATAAGTATTTCTCTCTTTTTTTTTTTTTCCTGACAGAAACCATTTTTGCTCTTTTCTAAGATGCCAAAGTCAACATTTGTGCCTTGATATTTCCTAGAGTACATCTTTCAAACAACTTGCCACAGCAGATTTAACTCCATTGAGTCAAAAACAACAACTTGGAGTGTTTTTAACGGTGAAAGGTATTACTAAACAAATTTCATCTCTGTTTTCAAAAACAGTGTCCTCTAGCACTGAGCATGTTAGGAAGTCTGAAAGTATGATCTGAATATCTGATACTTTGTTGAGGCTTTGAACTCAAAAATATACCTAAACGTATTACACTCTCACTCCCTGTTGTTTTCCTCCAAAATGCAATTTTAGGATAACTGCTTGCCTTCTAGGTGGGCGTACACACAGAAGAAACGTGTGTAGCTCACACATTTGTGGTTGGTAACATGATGATGACTGTCACAGGGCCATACCAAACAAAACAGCAGTGGAGACTCCCTCCTTCACAGGACTGCTTGTGTGGATGGCCGTACTCTAGTTATTTCAGTCTCAGTAGGTTACTGCCTTATAAAAGTAACTCACATTCTGAAGTAGCAGGACAGAACATCCCCATGTCATATCATGTACTAATCCCAAATCCATGGATTTTTGATAGACTCAAAAATTACAATTATGTCCAATATCCTGAAAACAGGAGTGAAACCATAAAACAGAACTCCTTTCCACAGTTACTTGCTGAGCTGACACACGTATTAAGTACAACTGAAATCCCTGAGCAGCAGCATCTTAAGATGGAGATAAATTTTTTACCTGTGTGGTTTGAAAACTGGACAGAGTTCACTGTGTCAACTTCGAATCCCAAAACCTGTAAGAAAACATAGGAGTATTTCTTTTACTGATACAGCTTTGTCAGTGTTACCAATACCACAAAATATAAGGCAGCATCCTTATTTCCTAGTGCATATTTTAATATCCTTTAGTGCTGTCTCAAAGTCAAAGCTGAGTCAACATACACGCAACATAAACAAACAATGCAGTAACTTGGTGCACAACAGGATATGGAAAAAGACTGACATTGGCACCAACATCAGCAAAACAAAGCTCTGAATCCTCAGGCAAGAGTTCATCTGGGGATAAGGACAGAGAAGTTTTCCCAATCAGCACCAATCGTGGTAGCTCTGAGGAAAGCCTTGGCTGGCCTTCCTTGCTAAGAAAAGCAGTCTGAATTTCAAGGTACTAAGGGAATGCAAAATATGGAGGGAGGATGCTGTTTGTATTGCAGAAAGCCAACCTTTCTAAAAGGAGGATGGAAGAATCAACGGATCAACATGATGAGACACACTTGGATTTTACAAACAGGCTCTTTACAGCTTAGTTCCAAAAGAACAGAAAGAAATCCCAGATAATTAATTTGGGGAATAATTAGGCAATCAAAGGGAACAAGCTTTCAAAAAGACAAACTAAAAAGAAGGCACGCACCAAACCCATCTGCTACCTTGCATTACCAGCAAGTCAAATTCTTGAACTAATTTGCTAGTGCAATTAAGAAATGCATTCCTGTTGCTCATGAAAATAAGAGTACCAAATCAGGAAAAAACTAATGAGGATTATTAACCTGACAATACCTGTTTAATAGAGATAGGGACTACTCCCTATGAAGCCATTTTTAGACATTGTTATCTGCAATGAGAGACATTCTAATGCAGCAGTGACATAACAGTCTGACATTTCGTATTTGCTTGCACAGCCTACTTGCTCTGAGTAAGAATTCTCCTCAAAAGAAGAGCTGCTATATACAGCTCAGTGAGTCATAGCAGGAGATAATAGTAATGATGCAGTGCTGTTTATGATCCATTTTCAGGCAATTTGCTGAGGAGGGGGAGTGAATGGAAGAGGCTTTTGCCAGTCACGTTTTTTTTTCCACTCCACAGCACATTTCTCCCTTTTCATCACAAAGGCAACTCCTTCACATGCATTAAAAATCTCTGGGTGGACTGCAGGAGAGAGATTTCCTCAGTGCTTGTACTTTCTTCCTCACGTAAAGCCATTAAGTACCAACCTTTTCTTTCAAACCCTGCACCATTATACAGAGATAGAGGTACGTGCTGCCATGAAGAGTTCCTTTTGCCTGCAGGCACTGCATTTCTGCCACACTACAGCTCAAAGAATACACAGGTCTTCACACAGTAAGTTCCCATTTCCAATATTTAATCAAGGTTTCTGTTCATTCTTAACTAAACAACTAAGTAATCTTGCATTAATGATAAGCACAGTGGTGGCTTGTGGCCTGATCGAGTTAAAACTCTTATCTTCTTTTACTCTTCTCCAGTTCCTCTTGGTGGATTTCTAAGCACAGAAAAATTAACAGTATGAGAACATGGCAATACTGTTAGGATTTTAACCCTGATATCTGCACATGCTCTCCAAAGACATGAATGAGAGAACTGCCTCTACAAACATTCCTTATCCAGTGTTCAATTCTCCCAGTAAAGAACAGGCCTAAGTTCTAATTGCCTTCCATCATCTTGGCAATAACTGCAAATGAATCCATTCCCACGCACTACTTACATCACACACCTCCAACTACTTAACATCTGGCACTCCAGAACAGACTTACTAAGATTTATGGGTGAACTGAAACTAGACAATCTTAAGGTCCCCTCCAGCCTAAGCCATTCTATGATTTACTAACCCATAGGTTGGATGGCGGATAACTTCAAAGGCAGATCCACACGGTAGTTTTGTAGTGTTCAGTCAGCAGGGAACAAATTCAGGTCAGTAATGGTTTATCATGGTTCGCTGAAGAGTGCAGTTGTCTCTATGCTCAGCCTGATAAATACAGCAGAAGCCACACGTGCCACTTGGCCACTTCCATCAGAGTGACAAATGCCTTTACTGAGATACTGATGGTTTCAATTCACACCTGCTGACACATCATGTTCCTGCTGTTTCCTGAATTTTTTGCATATCAATCTTGCATTCTCAAACCAACCCAACTTTTGGGCCTTAAAACTGTCACTTTTCTCTGTGTGTGTATTCATGCATATGTTCCTCTCACCTCAGTGTACATAAATTGAAGGATGTCCCCCCATGTTCATTTAGGCTACATCTGAGCCAACATCTTCAAGTAGTATTCAATTAGAGCAATGAATGAACATATTAAAAAATGCACAATAATTCTTAATTTATTGCTTTTCTATATACTAGCTTATAAGTAGTCCCCACCTGCTGTTGCTTCCTGCTTTCCCCTGTAATAAGGGTCCCGAACTGATGGTCCTGCCTCAGGTTTTAGAGATCACAGAACCACAGAATGGCTTGGAGTGGAGGGACTTCAAAGGTCATTTATTTCCAACCCCTGCTGTTGGCAGGGCTGCCCCCCCACCAGCTCAGGCTGCCCAGGGCCCCATCCAACCTGGCCTTGAGCGCCTTCAGGGATGGGGCACCACAACTTCTCTGGGCAGCTGTGTAAGCATCTCATCACCTTCTCAGTGGAAATTTTCCCTGACATGTCGTCAGTCTTCCCTGTTTTAGACTAAAGCTATCCCCTTGTTTTATCACTCTCTGTTCATGTAAAAAGTTGGTCTCTCTCCTGTTTATAAGCTCCCTTCAAGTACAGGAAGGCCACAATGAGGCCTCTCCAAAGCCCTCAACTCCCCAGGCTAAACAAGCCCAGCTCCCTCCACCTGTCTTTGTAGGACAGGTGCTCCAGCCCTCTGACTATCCTCATGGTCCTAACACAGAGGACAGCAGACACTTTGCAAGCGTCCAGGCTGCAGTTGCCAGAGAGGCATATCTTTATCTCGGTTTTCAGACAACCTGGTCTCTTGCAGGCCCTCCAGCAGGGATCACTTCCTCTTTCCATCCCCTCCTCCTGCTGTCAATCTGCATAAATATCGTTTGCCCACAGAGATGCAAATCCTGAGCGAATCTAAACCCAAAGCCTGTTTGGGTAAGGATGATAAGCGCACTTCAAGGGAAGAAGATAACTGACTTCATCTCAGACTAAGCACATGTCAAACAGCGTTCTTAAGACACCTAACTAACATGGCCTGTATCACGACACACAGAAGTCTCAGAAGAAAATGGGCAATTCCAACAGCTTCTTAGTACCTTCACCAAAGGAGGCAGAACTATTGCATTGCTAAAAACAAATCACAAAACACCAAAAATAGAGAAGTCTTGCATTTGGAAGGCACGGCTGGCAGATCTGTATGACAGATTTCAGGAAAATATCTGGAAGATTAACTCAAAATACACACACTGGAGTAGAAGGCACTAGAAGAAACAGTTGCCATGAAACACGTACTCCAACATCACGCAGGAGATCAAATGAGGCTGAACTCTTTCTCATTATCTTTTGGGTATGCTGACATTTATGCATTTCTTGAGTCAGGAGTTAGAGCTTTGTTTAAATTGTACCTTCTGCCTTCCTCTCCCTGTTAGAAAACATCTCAGTCATACACGCATGAAACATGCCAGTCCTTCACTGCCAAGAACAAGTAACCAAGACCATGAGAAATGAAAGATCACAAATCCATGTTTCTTTCAAGAGGTCAAAGTTGTGTCTCTTGTGTAAGGGGGAACTGTCAAAACAGAAGATAAGGAAAGCTATGTTACAGAAGATCATGACTTTAACAATAGAAAAAGATTCTGAAGCAAATGCAGCATTTAAATTCTGTTTTAACGATTGCTAAACTTTATTTTCTATTTGTATTATCCACACTCTGTACCGACAGTCTAAAGACAAATAAAAGAAATAAGCTCCTAATCCTATTTGCTATATGATTGTTAATACCATTTGAGACAGAGAACTGTTAGCTTCCAAGATTAGCTTTGCCACAGAGCAAAGACTAATTTAAATACTCATTTAATAATTTTGTTTACTCTGAGAAATGCTTTTAAGAAGTGCTAATAGCTGTTACTGCAGCTGATTCTACATGCAATTTGGTTACCATTCTTATCTAGAGCTGAAAATCTAGAGGGAAAAAAAAGCATACTCAAAAGCATCACATTTTAAAGTATTATTGAAGTCCTTTTTCTCCTTTTTTTTTTTTTTTGCATCCAGTTTAAAGAAAAAGTAGGAAAAAAAAAATCTTCAATCTCTGAAGCATGCAAAAGGAAACCTGTCGTGTGATTTACTTCTACACTGAACTAAGTTTGATTGTTTCCCTGGGAACTAAATATTGGAAAAATAGCAAAACAAACTATTGCCAGTGTATTGCATACACATACTGAGAGAACGTGAGCTGTACAGGTGGCTGAGAGAGAGGCTGTGGAACCACTATCTTTGGAGACCTACAAGACCCACGAGGACAAGCTCTGACCAACACGGTCTGCACACAAAAAGCTTTACCTGTTGTACAGCTTTGGCTATAAGGACAAAAACCAGTGGCACATAATGTTTGTACTATTAACCATGCTGGCTTTGTCAGTGAAGACACAGTGTCCTTTGTTGTTAAATGAGCAACTGACCAATTAAACTTGAATACTTTAATTAGTACTTAATTTCAGCAATTTTAGAGAATAATGACCTAGTTCTGCTAGGCTAAAATTCAATTAAAAATATCTCTCTACTCTGTAATATCATCTGTACATATTACCCTCGCTGGCCAATGGGTTTACGCCTCCAGTGTGATCTTATTCAAAGCAGAAACAACAAAGCAGTGCTGCAGCTCGTGTGAAAGGACAAATCCAGAACAATAAGCAAAAGGCATAATAAGAAGGAGAAGCAGTGTGAAGAAAAAAAATAAGATTGTATAAGGTTACGTAAACATGATCCTTCTTGACAGATGTTCACAGGTTGTCGCCTGTATTTCATGAAGCAAAACAGAAGCCTTCACCCACTGTCTCCAGTTGCCTCAAAGC